TTATGAGGAGAGGCTGAGGGAGCTGGGCCTGTTCAGCCTGGAGAAGAGAAGGCTGAGAGGGGATCTGATCAGTGTCTATAAGTACCTCATGGGAGGGAGTGAGGAGGATGGTGCTGGCCTCTTTTCAGTAGTGGCCAGGGACGGAACTAGAGATAATGGCCACAAACTGAAGCATCAAAAGTTTCACAGGAACTTAAGGAAAAATTTCTTACCAGTGAGGGTGACAGAGCACTGGAACAGGCTGCCCAGAGAGATTGTGGAGTCTCCTTCTCTGGAGATCTTCCAAACCCGCTTGGACGCAGTCCTGTGCCACGTGCTCTAGGTGACCCTGCGTGTGCAGGGGGGTTGGACTAGATGATCTCTAGAGGTCCCTTCCAGCCTTAAGCATTCTATGATTCTTTGATTCTGTGATCTAATTTAAGTCTTCCAAGAGCAGAAGGCAATAAAAAGTAGGCTGTATCCAAAAATTCCTTGGATATTTCTAATACTTTTAATTCATTTTTTTTTCAATTATTTATTTTACAGCCATTTTTACATGACCTATTTATCACAACATTTCTGGAGTTAATTAAAAGAAAATAGTCACAAAAAGTGTTTGGAAGCTGCTGTGGAGTTTTTCTTGAAAATAGCAAGGAAACAATGGAATATTTTCACCAGAAAATGGTACCTAAAGCTTTGTAGAAACCCAAAACATCTCAAGTGTAGCAAAATAATGCTGCCACAGTGTCAGAATGTTAGAATTCTTCTAGAAAAAAAATCATGTTTTATAATGTTTCTGGCATTAACTTTTTGTTGAGAAGCAAAAGCAAGAATTTAAGCCTAGGCCACCCTGTCAGTTACAGTCAGTGCTAGAGGGTAGGTGCAGAGTTTTTCTTAACATGGCCCTGTCCTGTGTTCCAGGGTGACATTGTGTCATGCGCTGGATCCTCCCTGTGCCTGTGGACAGTCAATGGGCAGCCTCTTGTCAGCGTCACCGTGGCCTGCAGCCTGGGGAGCCGCCTGGTTTGCTGCTGCTTTGCTGAGGTGATGGACTGGGACACGCGCACCATCGTCATCGCAGGGAGCACGGATGGAGTGGTGAGGGTAGGTGTTTCCCATGGAGGAGAGGGAGGGAGAAGGGCACCGTTTTTCCAAATTTAGTGTAGGCCAGAGGGAGAACTTGGCATACTGAGTGGAGTGGAAAGTGCTTTTAGTAGCACAGCAGGACAGCACAGGGCAAAAGCTATGAACTGGGAGAAAAGGTTTTATTTCCTATTTATTTTGTGAGGTTGAAGCAGGCATGTGTCGCTATGTGCACACACTGATACGAAGTGCTGCCTGACTAGTGCAGTGTTACTGTAACAGCTGCAGTAACAGGGTACCTGCCATTCTAGCCTGGAGACAAGGAGCTGCCTGAGCCACCAAGCCTCCTTCATATATCTGACTGGAGGAGTTTTAAGCAATCATTTCTACTACTCAGGAGTGGTTTTGAAAATACACTTTTAATATTGCTCTATTTTGAAGGCAAAAAAATCCACTTCCTGACATAAACATGTTTTGATCGCCTGTGAGGAACAATTTATTGTGAAAAAGGCTCTTGTGTAGCAATTCTAGTGTGCCTCAGTGCCTTGCCTGAAGAATTCCATGAGAATTCCATGTCCTTTATTTTATAAATAGAGACACCGAGGTGGTAGTGGTGAGGAAACCGCTTCATAAATTCACTTTTGTGAAGATTAGTAGCAGAACACTGCAGAACTCACAGTTTCAGAGTTCATAAGTTGGTTTATTAAACTGTACTTTCTTGGGAGCAGGAATTCACTTGTTCTGCCCTCAGTCTGGCAGGAGAACTTTCTGAGCTCTTGGTTAACTGCAAAGCTGTCAGGTTCTGCTCTGGCTATGCAACATCTAATTCCCAGCACTTTTGGGATAGCAGGCAGCTGAGCCTCTCATGCCTACTGCATTATAATCTGTTGTTTTTTTTTTTATCCTTTTTGCCTCCTTGCTGGCACAGCTGTGGAAGACTCAGTACCCCAGTGGTTCAGGCCAAGCAGCTGAACTGAAATCCCAGAGAGGTACAATGGAAGCACCGGGCAGCACAGGTACAGCCACGGGGTGGACGTGAACACAAGCGTGGCTGTGCAGTGCAGGCCTTGTCTGTGAGGCAGAAGAGGTGTGTGAGCACAGCGATAGCAGGAGATGATGTACAGCATGACTGGTACAATGTTACAGTAACAGCTGGAGTAACAGGGTGGCTGGTAATAAAGCGTCTTGGCCTGGTGCTGGAGCGTGCAATACCTGATCCTGCACTGGGCCGGGGCAGTTTGTCCTTGCCACCTTGAATGAGATTGAAGGCTGCCTGTGCTGGTGGGAAGGCAGCAGGAGGCCCTGCTCCGTGGGGTTGTTGACTGGAAGCAGAGCTGAGGCCTGGGAATTCTTGCAGAGCTGGGGCTGACAAGATGATGTGGGCTACAGTGCTGACTGGTAGTGAAACAAGCTGAGCTCACTTCTCTGATCTAACAAATAAGCAGCTGAAACCTGACATGGAGCTTTAAAGGCACATCCTAACAGCACAGCTTGATTCTGTTCGCAGCACGTTTTATAGAAGAAAGGGATTATGTTGTTAGTATGTATAATTTATACCACTTATTTCCTGTGATCCTCATTACAAGCATTGTCAATTGCTTCACTTTTAGGCACACAATTTGCATAAAGATAGAGCTATAGATGTAATATCTGCATAAAAAGATATGCATAATGGGGCATTAGCAGTGAGATCTTCAGAAGTGCTGTTCATGGAAGCTGGCGTCTATGTAGCTTAGGCTGTTATGTGAAAATATTCATATATATGGAGGTGTATTGAAAATACCAGAGTAGAAGCTGATCTTTGCTTTCAGTCGGGCCAGATGCTTCCAGGGAAGGTGCAAGAATATCGTAGATGCCAGATGTGGAACAATCTAATGGTCATAAGTGCATAATTAGTTTCATTCTGGTCTCTTAATCAGTGATTACTCTAAGCCAAGATTGGGCATTCCTTCCAAAAATCATGTAGCATTGTGTAGTCATTTTGCAGATTCTTTTTACATGTACAAATGTCCAATTTGTTTAAGAGCTTTCCTGCCTGTATTTTTGTCCTTAACTTCTCTGTCAATATTTCCAGGTCCTAACTACTTTGGAATAATTGTGTAGCAATGCCTTTGGTCAAAATGAGATTTTAGCTGTTTTTTAAAATTAAGTCTTGGTAAGCAGTTTCCCAAACCAGGACATAAAAGCTGTCTGTGGGAGCACAGCTGAATAAAACTTCTGTTTGTGCTTTTTTCAGATAAGTTCATAAAAGAAGATATGTATTGACCATGTATTCACTATGTATGCAAACACACACACATCTCTTCTTGCATAGGAGCATAAGGGTTCCTGATCTTGCAGACACATACAGGGCAATATTATTATTTCTTAAAGAGAGAGGTGCAGTCCAAGCAGTGACCTGCTCTCCTAAACTGCTCAACTGACTACAGAATTATTTTAGATGGCCAGATATCCCCACATCTCATTCTGCAAGTTAAAGAAAATAAAATTAATACAAAACACAGTCATTAAAAAGACTGAAGTAACTATAATTGAGTTATGTTGTTAGGGATGTGTGTGCTTGTGTGTGTATGTGAAATGTTCTCAGCATTTAATTATTGGTTCTGTTATGAGCAGATTTAGATAAGTTGATAATACCAGGGCTTTATGTAATTTCTTTTTACTAGGCAATTATGGGCTGTATTATATCCTGGCAGCAAGGTATTGTGGGGCATCTTATTAAGCATAGAGCCAGTGAAAACTGATGAACAATTTTGCTGAACTAGGCATGCAATTTAGAAAGCAATAATACACAAATCCAATTTAGCACACAATTGATACAGCCGCACGTCAGCACATGTAACTATCATAGCCACAAATTAAATTGGGATGGGCCTATTTTGCAACAGCACAGGCTGAGATTAAATATATTTGTTCTCAACTTAACAACTTGCTGACCGTAAATAACAATCCCTTCCGTGCTGCCCCCAGACACTTTCTAAATATTTATTTTTAAACCACACAACAGGTAACAAGTGTGGCAAACAGCTTGTTCTCTGTCGGGAACTGAATCCCAGCCTTGCCTTGACTGGAAAACCGAGTAAGAACAGCCCGGCTGTGACAGCGCTCGCTGTATCCAGGTACTGACCTTGCTTTGCACTGCAGTCTGTGTGCAGCAGAGGGCACCAGATGAACCTCGGTGTCTCCATGGGTCTGTCTGAAATCATTAGATTATCTCATTTTGTTCTGAGGTTTATATTTCTGAAAATCTCACTGGAATTGCTGTGTCTTAGCAAAACGCAGCTGCTCCAGTTGGCCTGGCCAACTGTATTAAGGTTTGGGGATAGTCAGCAGTTGGGTAGGAGGCAGTGCAGCGGAAACAACAGCTTTTAGGGGAGAATAGTTGCAGAAATGATTAGATACTGCCCTGGTAGTAGTGGTAGTAAAATTGTTATCCTTGGGATTCCTGCAGATGCTAGCTCCTTAATGAAATGTAAACAAGATGTTTTGAGCCAAAAGAGGACTTGTTAAGCCAAAATTGGTTTGCAAAGCCAGCAATATTCTAGTTTACTAAACTCCGCTCTCGCAGTTTCATCTGGCTGTAGTAATTGCCTTCACTGTCTACCCCAGGATATTGTGCTATCAAACAGTTGCTCTCTTGCTCTTTAGAAGTGCTGGCATTTTGGTAGTTGCTAAAATGATTTCTATGTTCTGCATGCTCAGATACAGAACACTTAGAGTGCAATGCTTATATGCATGGAAAGTGTGACATTTTCAGGTTTAGTTTCACTGCGTTGATGACATTGCATGCAGCAGAGATTTAGGTGTCTGAAGCCTTCTGGTTGTGTCAACAAGTCTGAATCCTGAATCTGGCCAGCAGATTTAATTAACACTGGTAAATACTCAGTGTCAGTGAAGGGTCAGAGCTCCAGATCTGCCTAGGATGTCCACAGCTGACTCAAACTGCAGGAAAGTTTGGATCTGATTCCAAGTTCAGTATTAATCCGTGTTATTCTTCAGACTTGACACTAAAGATAACCGACTGCCTTCATTGTTGTGTTGTCCTGATTGCTGCACAGGCAAGAGAAAGCCCTGACCATATTTGCACCTTAAACATTGTTCTCTTCTTTTTCTTTTCTTTCTTTCCGTCTTTCTCAAGAAATTTCTCCAAGCTCCTAGTTGGTGATGAGTGGGGAAGAATCTGCTGTTGGTCTGTGGATGGATAGGAAGAAATAGTCAGAACCCTTGTTCTCAGCCTTTTGGATGGAGAGAAAATTGCTCCTCAGAACACACAAGATTTGGAGGAACCTGGAAGCTTATGGAGGAGAAAGAATCTTGGAGGTGTTGCTGGACTGACCCTGCAGTCAGGTCTGGCTGAAATCAGAGAATGGACTCCAAAGTTATGAGGAAAGATACTGACAAACAATGCACACATGCTATAAGAATTTGCAGTAATTGTTCTGGGAACTTTTATATTTTAAATATTGAATTTGACACGTTTTGTATTTACATTGCAGTTCAAGCTAGTAAATAAAGCTGCCTTGATGAAGCCGAAGAGAAACATAGCTTAATAAATTTAAAATATTCTTGTTTTAGAGTTCAGAAAGTGTTGAGCCTTCAAACTTATGTCAAATGCCCTTGTTGCGGTATTTTTGTTCTTGCTAACATACAGGTATGTTAATATCTTTGATCTTGCCCCTCTTGCTTCTCTGAACCTGGGATATTTCATGAAAAAAGTGAGATCCTTCAGAGAAGTTACTTATATTACAGAGTGAGGATAGGACATAGTCACAATGGCGATGTCTTCATCCAACTGCATTCTGAACATCTGTTGCAGCACAGTTTTATGTTGGTTAATCTCTGACTTATTTTTTCACAGTGACCAAGGCAGTCAAGATGCATGGAGGGGGTGAGGATGAGGATCTGGCATAGCTGGTAAAGGTTTTTTTTATTCTCATCCTACATTGCCTTCTTTTCCAACCTTGCCCTCATGCTTTCTGGAATATCAGCATATCACATTTACTTCAGGATTTGCTTTCACAATTAACCTGCATGGTAAAAGTGGGGAATATGAAATATGCGAAAGCTGAGACCATGATCTAGCAAATTCATGTGCCAATTGAGTCCCCAGTTGACATGCAGCTGATATGAAAGATTAAACTCCTTTACGTTTTCTGAAAATTTAAAGGAACTATACCAATGACAATTAACTCCTCCCTGGTAAAGAAGTAAACAACCTGGTGAAGAAATAAAGCATCTTACCTTACAAACAGAAAGTCTGAGAAGCCACTTAGGCAGAGTGGCTTCCCAAACACCATGGGTTAATCAGGTCAGAGCCTGGGTGAACACAAAGGTCATTGTGGTCACAGAGGACCTTGTGTTCATAATGCTGAACCCACTCCTAGATACAGAGCCACAAAAATTTCCTCCTCTCCACTGTACTGCACTTTTGCTTAATACTGCAAGAGTGGATCTATGTGCTATCCTGGACAGGCAGAGGTTAAGAAACACAAGAAACTGCTAATGACAAAGTCTTAGAGGAAGAGACATCATCACTAGAAAGAATCAGGAACGGAAGGCAGGAGTGTTTATTGGGCTTCCTCTCACTACACCACCAGCTTTTTTCCTCCTATAGGGGCCCTGTTTTGTTCACAATTTTTTTAATTATGTTGCTGATTGAGCAAGACTTCCTGTGGCAAACAGCTTCCTTATCAAGTGCTAATGTAAGTAACACAAAATGCTGTTATTGTCATATGGACTGCTAACAGCACTAATGCATTCTCATACCCTTTCTGGATGAGGATCTGTATCGTTTGGCAGGTATGAAGGAAAATAGCCTCCAACTTTTGGTGATAAGTCCTTTTTGAGAACGCCATGTACTTATCACCTAGGTAAGTACTCCTGTGCTGCTCCACCCTATCCAGTCTTTGCTGAAAACCTCTGAATTCTATGGCATTGGTCAGGACCTTAATCTTACAAGGTTGTTGGAATCTTCCAGTTTGAGGAGCTCTTGCTTTCTTTTCTATTTAGCTCCAGACTTCTGCCTGAGTCATAAGTTTTGTAAAGAAGCGCAAACTGTGAGTCCTTGCTTGGCAGTTACAGCACAAGTGTAAGCATGTGGCAGTCAGAAGATCTTGAAAGCCAGATAGAGCCAGTGTGTGTGATCTGGTGCAGTGGAGAGAGCAATCCAGGAGAATGTCTGCAGAATGCCATCTCATCATCATCTTGCAGGCAAGCTAGAATTTTTAAAAATATGGTTGAACCATATTAATTAGCAGCAGACCAACCTCTTTTGTAAGCGCCTACTTTTTTGTTGTTGTTGTTGTTCATTTCATGTATCTGCTAAAGGGTGCATGTTACTGAAATTGTTGGCTCTGGATGTGGAGGCAGCTTTTGCTGAGACAAACAGGGCCTGGTACTAGCTAGCTGCCAGGCCTATGGAGCAGTAGTGAGGCCTACTCAGTGAGCATCCTGATGTGATACTTACTCTCTAATGGCCACATGGGACATAGGAATGGCAGGTCCAGAGTATGCTCAAAAATTAAGCAAGCAGAACAATTCTACAGCAATACTGTAAAGACGGAGTTATGCTGAAAGTAAGTAGCTCAGTAAAAATATCACCAGAGTATTGTAATTATCTCAGAAACCACTTTAGCAAGGAGTAAGTAGCTCAGGGTGAGAATTACCCTTAAAAGAAATTCAATCCCATTAGGATAAGGAATGTGGAATTAAGGCACAGTCTTTAATTCTGCCCTGCAGGGAACCAAAAAGAGAAATACAGAACAACACAACCTTTATGTGACTTTAAATATCAGATTAATCAGGGACCATAAACCCTAAAATGCCTTAATCACACTTATTTTGTTATTGCACAGACTATCTTGCTTCCTTGTTTGGCATTAGGGCTCTTGTAAATGTTAGTGAACATTAAATACTCTCTGATTTCTGTACTTTTCTATTGGCTAATAAAGGCTAGTCAAGCAATATTTGCAGAGCTGCCTGTGCACTGCAGGGCCTTTGTATCCTCATTAAAAAAGAATTTGCTCAGCCGCCTTTGAAAAATCCATGCAAACAGATCTGTAACTCCCACAGGAAAGTACCCTGTGACTGTTGCTCCTCAGTCTTTCTTTATACATGGATCTAAAAACTTGTCACAAAGGGGAATTAGTAACCAGATCATTTCATTCAGAATTTCACATTGCTGTCACGAGGGAAGTATCTTAAGCCATCATCAGCTAAAACCATTAGTGGGGACGGGCATCCTTCTGCTTGAAAATGCAGCCTGTCTGGCCTGTCTGTCATCTCTGGTGAGGAACGTGCTAAGCAAATTCAAAAAGGAGCGCAGAAAGGTTCTGAACCTGATTGTGACACTCTTGCCGCTTCTTGCTTGGTAGTCGGCCACAGGAAGAGCCGGGTTGTCGGTGTGTTGATCCAGTCTGTTCTTTGCAAACAGTCTTGGCTCTTTAGGCTCTTTGGAGGAGACTTGAGAAATGAGTGAAACACAGGGGCCTCGGAGACCTCAAAAATACGGGTAGTATCGTTCTAATCCCAGCTTCTCAGAGTTCAGTGACAGCAAGAAGGCAGGAACTAGAGGAGACTTGCAGCAGAAAGATTATCTTAGGGCATGGTGGGGATAAATGGACAGTGCTACAATGTCCTGGCTTTCTCCCTGATCCTGCAAGATATTCTTTGCCTTTTGGGTCAGTTGCTTATACAAGCTCATTCCTTTTGGAAAACAATGAGCAAGGAAAGCCTGGAAGGCTAAGACTTTGTTTGTTTGTTTTTTTGGCCTGTCTGAGACTCAGCCAATGACTGGGTGTTGGGAGCTCTAAATGCCATTACCAAGAAGGTTTCAAGTCTTGGATGGTGGGTGGCATCTGTAACGACCCTACCTGTTTCTTTGTGCTCTGCCACAGCTCTCTGGTCTCCCTGAAAGCAGTGCTGAGCCGGATAACTGGGGTGATTTGGTTATGTACACTGACACACATCATGCAGGGCTCAGACTAATTTCTGCCTTATCTGTGTCAGTCTGCAGGGATGCGTGCACCATAATTACTGTCACTGAAGTCAACCAGGCTCATGGGGAGATCTGAAAGGGTACAGGGCTGATAGAGGACTGGCTACTTTCCCTGTGCTTTTTGGCTTAAATGACAGGTCATCAGAGCTCTTCCAGGCTTCAGGATGTTTCTAGAAATTTGCTGCATTATGTTTTTAAAAAGAAATCTCCTCATACCCTATGCCTGATTTAAATACTATGGAACTAGGCAGGCTTCAGCAATGCATTGGCATCTTGGGGACTGTGGATAATATTTACTGCAATGAACACTGAGCAAGTGTGGGCCTGGTGATGGGGAAAGCTGGGCCCGTGTTCAGTTGTCACTCCACTTCATACCTCAGCATCGCGCTGGCCCTCTGCCAGGATGGTTGTGGAGGGTTCTTGGTGTCGGGCAGTGAGGGGCTAAGGGGGAGCTGTGTGCTGGCTGGCTGGGTCGAACTGAGGATCCTGGGTGATCCTCTCCTGTGAGGAGAACATCATGAGGTCTTACTGGTGTACAAAGTGGAAGAAAAGTGATCTCTATGTGGGTGCCTACAAAGGGAGTATGGTAACTTTCTCTATTCCAGCTCAGAAGTTGTCTCCTTCTTGCATTTGTTTGGGCAAGAGACTGCAAGGACTTCCCAAGGAAGGCTGAAAAAACAGATCCAACACAGTCATCCTAGGGAGGCTGGGTTTTGCACTGCTGGAAAGCTTCTGTATTTTGACTGCAATAGTGGGAAAACTCAGCAAATCCCTCTGGTGTGACACCAGGTGCATGTCTTGCAGACACAGCTCCACTATTGCTGTCCGTACTGAATGCCGCAAAGACACACCAAAACCCTGAGAGTTGTGTGCAAACCATGCAGCCACGTCCAGCTTGGCAATGTCAGCACAGGCCGTCCCTGAACCGCAGGCATGTCGGTGAGGGGCAGTACTGGTGTATCTTGCCTTGCCAGGGGCTAAGAGTGAGATTTTCCAGTGTTTTAGGGGCAGCAAGGAGTGCCTGCCACTACAGATAACTTGGCTATTACAAATATCCTCATCTTAAAGGGCTTTCAGTCTTTCAGATATGAAACAGAAGAGGAACTAGTGAAAACTAAGGCTAGACAAACTCCATCTGGAAATAAAGCAGAAATCTGGCAGGGAGGATAAGGAACAATTCCAGCGGCCAATGTCTTTGGCATTTGTGAGTTGAGATGCAGACCTTTCTGGAAGGGGTGATCCAGTTCACTGGGTGTGATGGGATCAGTGCAGGAAATTTTTCCTGGGTTTTGTTAGTCAAGAGAGAATGACTAGATTCCCCTGTGGGCTGTAGATCTGTATTATCTTTCAATGCTCTGAGGGGAAATGGGTGCATTCTCTGTCACTGTTGTAGCAAGGCATGGAAAAGTGACTCTGAAAAAGGCAATGCGGGTCTATTGCCTTTTGTCAAATCTGTATTGAGA